ATGTTTATCATGCAACGGCTTATGAAATTATACAAGTAGAACCGATAAAGTTTGTTTACTTATGAATCATATGCATAAACGATCAAAGCTTTTTAGCTCGATCAGTTTATGGATTTATCACCCCCAAACGGTTAATATTATAAATGGATAAACTCGCATTCACTATGGATAAGCTAGATTATCTGAGTACGGGATATTCATCTATTAATAATTTACTATTGACCAACATGTTATTAATGGACACCAGAACGTATTCGCAGTGGACCGCATATTTTTTATTGACGCAAAGCCAACGGGCGAGATTTCTCGCGCTTGGAGGTACAAACAAAAACAGCGCAAAAACCCTTGAAAACGAAGCTCTACTGGACACACTCCACGCACACGTATATACTCTTAGCTTGTACGCAAATAGACGCGGGCATATAATTAAGACTCGAGTGTATACTTCGCACGTTGGTTTTTGGTCCACGTGTGCGATGCTAAAGAGGCCGGGTCCTCGTGATAAAGCATATTCCTACCAGAGCTACAGTTTAGCCAGCGTATTATTCCCGCGAGGCGAAACGGGGGCTCGTTTTAATTGGAAAGACGACGCGTCCCTGGTCCTCCATCGTTTAGATATAAAAGTTGACTTTGATCTTGCGCGGACGAGAGGACCGCAGCTCTGCAGGGAAAAAAATGTGACGGTGTGAGAGGTAATGCCGGCGCTGGAGCTATCATTTTTTTTTTTGGCTTTCAAAGTACCTCGAGGTTTTCCCTTTGAAATTCATGAATTTTTATGACATTTGAAAGCTTCATGTACGCGTGAGAATTGCCGTGGGTGGAGGCGCTGTACATACCTTAACAGGACAAATCGACGAGCGCTGAGATTATTCGAATTAATTCAATACCTATACATTTTATAATAATACAGACAAAACAAAATGTATCGAGTAGAAAAACGAAATCTCAGGGACACAAGACGCTTGTGGGAATAACGTCTCAATGTCTCTCAATTACATGGGATTACATCTGAATCGAAGCTCTACACTCGAGTTAAAGAGTACGGGGGAGCGGTTACCGTGTAGACTCTTGATATAAACTGCGGGCAACGAGGTAGATTGAGCAAACGGTGTGCGTGGCTGACAAAAAAAGAGCTCTATTGCCCCCAAACGCCACCTCACCCGGCGCACCCTCGAGGGTAGCCGTCTCTAAGACCTCATCGTGAGATCGATTGCCACAGCCTTAAAACAGGGGCTCCCCCCTTTTTTCTCCCACTCCTTCCGAACTTCCTTTTTGTTCATTGCCTGCATGGGTTGTCCGTAGAGTGTTTCGAAGGCTACGCGACGGCCGCCGGGCAATGGGTTTCCCGTAAAGACCGGTGGCTTTTACCGCGTGCTTGGGACGCGAAATGGAATCATCGATTCATCCACCGGGAGGAAGACGCTTTATCGACTCCTCTTTCGTCCTGTTGGTTATTTTAGTGGAAAAATTGAGTGCCACTCGGGGCATGAAAATCGCTGCCTGCTGGGGACCCTCCTCCACCTCCGAAATTCTCCCCGTTTCTTCAGCGAGTCTTTGGAATGCAGTCTTTTGACGCAGGGGAAGTATGCACAACAAACGAATTCTTGCATGAACAACGCGCTTCGCCGGAGTCGGGAAATCTTTGGAGAATCTTGAAATTTCGAAACGAGGAAATTTTCCGGCAGGATCGACTTTGTTTCGTGGGGCGTTTTTGGAATTGGCCAACGTCAAAGGCGACTGGCATCTGGGTATTACAGATTTACTGTAGCCGTTGCTCGTCCGGTATAAAGATGTTGCCGAATCGCGAGATAAAGAGATTAACTGTTGTGAAAAATGGCTGAGTCAGGGGTTGGAAAACTTTTGGAGCGAGGGCTCCTGAACGATATGGCTCGTAAATTAATGAGTCGAACGGGTCCGATGCTGTATTTGGAAAAGAATTATTCGGCTTCGTTGCAACACGGGAATTGCGGTTCTGCCTCATGCTCTTGTGAAAAAGGAGCAAGGAATTTTTTTTTTCCCCCCAATGGTTGGAAGAAAGCCAGTTCTCTATCTGTTCGGACTCGCTTTGCGTTCTCGGGCGTTTTTTACATCCCTGGATCTCGACGGATAGCAAAATAATCCAATTAACGGTGTTGATGGAATCTTTGGTTTTATGTGAATCGCGTGCACGCGCCGATGCCTTTTTGGGGTACTTGGGCAGTATGAATGAATTCGCGAATGGCTGGCGAATTAGTTCAAATTTTATGAGTCTACGAGTGGAGGAGGCGGAAGTAGCTCGAGAGCTCGGGATATTTTGCGGGAATTATTTCACAAAAGTTCGATGAATACCTTTTTTCTTACCTCCCGGATGTGGATGAAAAAGTTGTTCGTTAAATTCACTTTAGGTGGCTGGAGGAGAATACGACGATGATTTATAATTAACTCGTTAAAGCTGTGAGTTTTCTTCACATTTTTGCTGGTTTTCAGAATTTTATACGCGTACTTTTGGTTTTTTATAAAAAAAAAGTTGATCCTTAAATAAATACAGGGAATATATTTAATAGGCAAAGTCACCGGTGAGAAGAGTATAAATGCAGGATAACGAAAAAAGAAAATCAAGATCAGAAAAAATCGCATCTCCGTGTTTAACTCGAGGTCCGGTGATATCAAACGAAAATTTGCCGGGGCTATAAAAAAAAAAAAAAAAGAAAGAAAATGTGGAAAGAAAAGAACGTACCATCTCCCGAGAGTCGCTGTTTCTGCAAGGGAGACAAAAGAAAAAAATTTCTTGTGCAAAGGTCTGCGCGAAAAAATACCACGGAAGCTAGCTAAGCACTTGTGCAAATTCGCATAAAAGAGTCGGGGATACCTATAGCGCGTCGAGCTGATAAAAAGACTCGTACTTTTTACTAGCACGTGTGTTCATATTTGCTTCCGTGCCTATAGCTGGCTGGTCCACGATACTGCCCGTGTTTCTTCAAATTTTTATCCACGAAAACTTAAATTATACTCGTTAAAGCCGCACAGATTTTTACAAAGTAAAATTAAGAGCTTCCACTCACGCTGGAATATTTAGAAATATTATATCAAGTTTCGACCTGCGTATGCTCCGAAAGTTTGCGTTTTATTCATTGTTCCAAAGGTAAAATATTCGCAGAGCTTAATAATGCCGGAACGGCGTCACCCCCGTGGATGCCATGAAAAATTCCCGAGCTTCTCGAAACACACGCCGTTTCGTCGCACGAAAAAAAAAAGAAGAATTCCTGTAGGCGTACATTATTAAAAATCGATCAGCGGCAACGGCGCGGCGCCGAGTTGAAAATTAGATTTGGCTCTGCGATTTCACGGTGCACGTGAAAAAAAAAAAAAAAAAGAAGTAACCCGGCCCGCGATATTTCAAACTGCACTTACGCAGCGGCAGCGGCAAAAAGCTCCTCATAACTTTTTCAGATTTAAACTTCGATTCCACTCGACTGTGTCCGCGCGGTGTGCGTGCCGAGGGAGGAAAAAAAAAAAAAAATTACCTTCCGTGCCGCGAAATAGAATTTGGCCCATGGAAATCCTCGGCGGAGGGTGCGTTCTTTTTCTTCGCTCGAGCGAAACGAGGCGAGACGGCCGTACAACCCTCGCTTCTCTACAGATTCCCTCGAAGCTGTCTTAGCCGGCTCGGGAAGGATGAAACGTACGCGTGTGCACCGTATTTCCAGAGGGGAAGCCCAAAATGCAGACCTCGTTTGCATGAGATATTCCGTTAATTTATTGTAATAAGCGGTCTGAGAGACTATGCTCTTGTAAATCATCTTTTTTTTCCCTCCTAAAAACTGTTTATGTAATATTTACTGTTCCGCGTATAAGAGCACGAAAAAAAAAGTACACGTAGAAAAAAAAAACCCACGGGTGCGCCACCGAGAGCGACTTTAATCAATGTTTATTAATCAAAAAGCCGAAATTCCCGTGGAAAAAATCGGGCATCCGGAAAAAGGGGGAGAGCAACGTTTTTGTCAGCTCGGCCTGCCCCTCGTTTCGCGCTGTTGCGCCCCAACAGTCGATTCGCCCTGATCTAAACTTTCGCTAGCCAGACAATGGCCACGCGAGTCGGATAAAAAAAAGAGACTGCAGGGTGTATTGGTTTTACCTGGCGTTACCGGGTTTTACGTTCGCGCGCGCGGACACGTGAAACGCTACCCCACGTGAGATTATTCACATGGGGTATCTCGCTTTTTTTTGTTATTGCTCGGTGGAAAAATATACCTGTCCGTCGGTTCGCCTGCCGATTGTAAAGTGGCTACCAGAGGGTGAAGCACTAAATCATTCAACTTCACTCACCGCTTCTTATTACATGTTGTAAGCCGATTGCTTTTTTCATTTGCTCATTGAATATTTTTACTTACAATCGCTGATTATTAAGAAACATACTGCTTATTGTCATCAGCTTTTGTACTTTATTTCATTTGTTTTCAATTATCACCGGTTTTAATGAAAATGCAGAGTCCTTCAGCTAGATCCTTAAATACAACGTAAAGTTTGTCATTTTTTTATATTTAACCAAGCCAATAAAAGTTTGGTAAAATAATATCCTTGTTCCAAACGACAGTCACGGTGAATAATTAAAAAAAAATAAAGTGATGCATTTCCAAGAAAACTATCTTCAAAGTAAGGCGGTCGTTGCTCACGTGGAAAATATGTTAATTTGATAGAAAAGGAGGACGCGTTGGATTGCTTAATTGAAAAAATTCGTATTACATGTTTTTTGACGCAACAGAGTGCAAGTCACACGATACATCACGCCATTAGGTCTTTCACGTAATTAAAGTGCATGTAGGTCAGAGCACTTGACGTCTTTCCACCTGCGCCTACTATTGTCTCTTCTCTGTCGCACGAGTGTCATGTACGCGGGTACACTGAGCTCTCTTTGTCTCTTTCCTCGCGAGCTCTACCTTTTTCCCTCTCGAGGCATTCGCTAACTTGTCGCCCAAAGTTTTTTAATACCAAATAACAATAATGACGTATTCTTTGTCCAGCTCAAAGCGTTTTACGTAGACCTGCTGGTGCCACTGGAAACAAATCTCGAGAAGGACACAAAAGTCGTGCAGGTAAACTACTTTAAGACTCGTTGTGTATGCTTAAAAAAGAAAGAAAAGAAAAGAAAAAAAAAAGAAAAAAATAGGAAAGATGCTTTTCGAGAGGAGCCTCGCAAAACTAATTTCCCGACGCTGCTGTTTGCCCACAGAGCGAGCAGAAAAAGTTCCTGCAGCAGCACAAGACGCGCAGTGAGACTTACAGCAAGGCCGCGGCGACGATGAAGAAGCAGAGGAAGAAGTCGCGCGGCGCCAGCAAGAGCGGCCTCGCCATGGACAAAGAGCTCAAGAACATGCAGATCCTCGAGGAGGAGAAGTCCAAGCTTGACGCCTTCTGCGAGCAGAGCCTCAAAAATGTATGCACGCGCACAAAGTGCTCTACCATTTCAAACTTTCGTTGCACCTTCCTTCCCTTTGATTCTTTTTTGTTTGTTCCCGGGACGAGGATCGCGTTGACGAGGGCCGCTCCCCGAGACGTTGGCTCTCTTGCTGAAGTTCTTTGCGTTTTTTCTTTCATAACTTCACAAAGGTGTCAAGAGACAACGAAAGAAAAGTAGCCAGACGCAGACCTGCATCTTTCCAACTTTACCTCCTTAACAATTTTCACACATCAATCACAATTATTTGTATTTTGATATTATACAACCGTGTTTTTTTTAACATTGCTCTTGTTACTTGGGTTTGTATCACCAAATTTTTAGAAAGGGAAACTACAGTTTTGTTAGAATAGCAGCATGAAAAAAATTATTGAATTGTAAATGGTGCAATTTATAAGTTTTAATTTCCGGTTAATAGATATTCTGTATTTTGTGTTTTTCATTCAAATAACGTTGATGTGACTAAAGAAAGAAAGTCTCGTGTATAAAAGAGAAACAAAAGTCTCGTACGGATCCGTAGATTGAAACTATACTTCGGTTCACCCACTCGATAGAAAAAATCTACGTCACTGAATGTTCACAGGCCATGACACAGGAGAGGCGAAGATACGGCTTCGTGCTCGAGCGGCAGTGTTCCCTGGCCAAGCACTACGCGAGCTTCCACGAGGTAGCCCTGGCGGCACTTCATCCCTCGGTGGACGAGTGGCGTGAAATCGCGGCCACGCGCGAGTACCTACCTCAGTCCGTCGAGGACATGTTCGCCTCGAGGCTCAGGGTGAGTTATGTCGAGTGTACAGTACGTATATAATTCGCACGTGGCTGTGGTCCCCCTTTTGGATCGTTAAACGCAGGAGGTGGTTTCAAAAGTGAAGGAAAAAAAAAATTTCTTTGTTAGTAAAATCTGCTGAAAAAAAAAACAGAAAATGAAATACCAATAACATAATACTTTGAGTATTTCACTTTTCAACGTGCCTTGATAATATATTTTCGTAAAATTATACCTCGTCAAACGATCGTGCGAGCATGAGCGTGAAATAAATTGTTCGAGGGATCCATCAAAATTCATATGCCGTCAAAATTTCGCGGATACTTTTCTATTCTCTTTAAAATTCTAGGGATGATATCTTAAAGCCTAATAAAGTGCAAGCGACATAAATCTTCTTGAGGGGCGCTGGAGTAGCTCCGATTCGCCAGGCCAGAAGCCATTATTCATCGTTTTCCGGGGAAATTTATACTGCTTAGGAGCTAAATGAAAACGCATAGAACAAAATAAGAATTTGTTTACTCTTACCGGAAGTGTGTATTTGTCTCAATTTTCAATGATGTAAAGGCAGTAAAAATAGAATAAGCGTGTTTTTCAACAAATATTTTATTGAATCGCGAAAAAATTAAATTACCAGCAGTAAATAATAATGAAAATGATGTATTACACGACAGCAAGTGTCATTTTGGCCGGAGGACGACGAGAACGGCGGCTCGGAATTGACGATGAGCTCGCAGCTGCGCAAGACCCGCAGCATGGACAGCTCGTGCCTTGAGCTGAGGCTGGGCCCACCGCAAAGCCAGTCGGTGCACGCGGGATTGCATCACGGCCAGGGCTCGTCGCACCTGCCAGCCGCGCTGTCACGCGCCAGGTCCGAGGCTAACCTGCACGCCTCCACCTTGTCACTTGGACCCGGTAAGACGCGTCGGAAAATTCCAATGAAAAATGTCATTAATTTGCCCACTGATGAATTTTACTTGGGTTCCTAGGGAAATACGTACACATACGTACGACTTTTTAAAATCAATTTTCCATCGCGATTCGCTCAGCTGCTAAACGATATTGCATCCGCTCACACAGAGTATATCGCAACGCGAGTACGTTCTCGTGCCCGGAACGATTCGGCATTTCGCACACGCTGGCGAGCAATCTTTGTAAAAAACAAAATCACCCAGACTTTCATTTTTCAGTTCGTTCGCCCGCGGAAATCTATTTTCCCGGTGAGCGCGCTTTCGACGCGCGCCTGCCGATGAGTGGATTATTTTTTCAAGTGTATGCACCTCTGTGCGTGAAAATGGATTGCACACGATTTAATGTATTAAATTTCTGCACCGCTTGCGAGAGTATACTTACTTTAATTTTTTGTATTTCAACGGTAATCACTTTAATGACATCGTGAGCCGTCGACGAGACGTGGAATGATTATTCTTATTGATTTTTTATATCAACAAAAAGAGCCACAGAGTTTGCATTGATCGTCAAACAAAAACTTTCCACGTTGATTCAGAGCGCCAACGACTCACTGCGGGGACGCGTATACCAACCGTGTCACCAGTACAAACAGAACGTGACTGAAACTTAATTAAGAGTCTTGTAAGATGACGCCTAACCGCTCGTCACTTGAGCCCCGCGAAATTTCAAAACTGAAGACCACCATCCTCCCAATGCATCCGCGTACAGTTACGCACAGTGTCATAGTGAATAGGCCCGTAATTCTCAAGAGCCTTAATACGACTTCGTTACCTCGCGAAGACGTGCGCCTTCCCCTTTTCGTGACCATGCGTATACATACACAGGGGGTTGACCTTGAGAGGTGTGTGTGCACGGAATTTACATCCCAGGTCTCTTGCTGATGTATTCAGGACTAATGAGTTCTCTTAACGGATGCAAATTTAATCAATGGTATCTATTGTACGCTTGTGCTGGGCGTGAAGACTTAATTATCTTAAGGCTCTATCTTATATTGATTCGTCGAGCAATACGAGAGAGAAAATCCAAGAGATGGTGAAAAATTGAAACAATGAATTTTCGTGGCTACCACCTCAATAATGTAATGTCTTTGTCATCGGACACGTAGAAGTGCCGGACACACCACCGAGGCCGCGGTCCATGGCGCCGGTGAGCCGCAACAGCGGCGTAAGTGGTGGCTTGATATCCAGCTTCTGGGGCGAGACTCCACTTGCTCGTGCTCTCTTTGCCTACCTCAGCTCCGGCGAGAATCAGCTCAGCTTCCACGAGGGTGACCTCATTGCGCTCATGGGTAAGTGACACTTGGGCGTGTAGTAGTTCACAAGTGAAGTGGAGGACTGTGGTTTGGGCGAATGGAAAAGTCGAGCTTGACAGAATATTGATCTCTTCCACTTGTTTTTTTTTTTTTTTTTTTTTTTTTTTTTTTTTTTTTTTTTTTTTNTTTTTTTTTTTTTTTTTTTTTTTTTTTTTTTTTTTTTTTTTTATTAATCTCAATTTAAAGCTGTCGAGATGATAGATGTTTAATGATTTTTCTTTTTTTTTTTTTTCAACATTAATCATGTGAAAAAGTCAGTATTTAATAAATAAGCGAGACTTAGCTTAGGTTTAGGAGTATTTATATTAGAGCCGTGTCTGACGAAATCTTGATCTCTTTCACTTGTTTTTTATATTAATTTTAATTTGACGAATAATTTGTGACTTCGTTCGGCATTTAGAAAAATATCAGTACTCTGTCACGTACGAGCCGTGTCTGACGGAATATTGATTTATTTCACTTGTTTTTCGTACTCACTTTACTTCGAAAAATGACACCATGTGATTGGTGGTTTTGCTCTTCAATATCAAACAAGTGAAAAAATCAATATTTAGTCAGACGGAACTACAATTATACAATATTCGATGAATTTATGCATCTTTGTGCACTAACAAGGCGACCGACAGAAGGGCTGGCAATTCGGCGAGAACCTACGCACTCAGAGCTCCGGCTGGTTTCCCCTGGCATACACAGAGATTATGGTCGACGAAGCAGTAGGGTAAGCATAACAGGGAGCCCCCATCCGTCTAATCTTCATAATTAATGTGCTCCACTCAGTCCCGATCCGCTGGCGCAATACACTCCTTCCTCTCCCCTTCGAAATCCGACAAAGCCAAAACGATCGACAAAAAAAAATCCTTGTTGCTTTGTACCCCCTCCAAACACCGGTGCTGAACCAATATCGCTGACGCGTGAAAAACGCAGCGACCGCGCGTACACCCTCGAGCCGAGTATCTGCTGTCGAAAACAACAAATATCGAATATCGTCGAAATCCGATCCGCCACACCTCGTGCGCCCGCCTGCCTGATCCCCGGAGCGACAAACTAATGCGCTTATACTACCCCCTGTGTCTCCCTCCCGTACGAACAATGGGTAACGTCTCGTGTCGCGCAGGTCGCCGAATCACAGCACGAGCAACGGAGGCCGTCCGAGCAACGGTGCGGTGGACGCCAAAGCCATGCCTCCGAATAAGCCTCCGCCGTCCCGGCCACCTATGCCCAACAACAACAACAGCAACGGCAACGACGAGTCCATGAACGGCGGCAGTAGCAGCAACGGCATCCACGACGTCAACAACGGGACCCTCACCTCCAACAACTCAAGCGCGGGCAACGCGTCCGCCAACAGCGCGCCAAAGAGCAATAACAGCTCGCACGGCATTGTACCGGCCTCCGCCAGGCAGGCCAAATCGGTAAGAGCTGTTGTTGCTTGTTGTTTCATCGCGTCGTTGAAGCCAACGCTGAGTCTGAGGGCACTCGACTTCGGACTGCACGCGGGGCTCTTGAGATTTTACAGCTTCTCGAGCTTGTCCATTTGGTCTTCTCTTTTGTTTCTTGTGTAAATGTTGGTTGCGTTGCTCCGTTTTAATTGAGGCACAACAGGTATGTGGATGCTGTGGTCGTTGTGCAAAAAATAAATTCCAGCATATTTCACGTAGGAAAAATACCTGTCGCGCGAATTTCCTATTCGTGAGCTGGTGGAAAAAAAAAAAAACAAGGAAAAAAACAGAAACGGGGGACAACGCGCAAATCAGCATGCGTTGGGCGTTTTGCACAATGGCGCATAATCAGGGGGACGGTGTACCTCGGTCACGTGAAAAAAAAGAGGGATAAAAGGGGGAGGGGGTGGGTAAAAAAAAAGGAAAAACAAACGAGAGAGGGAGAAAAAAAAACAATTGTCTCTGCGCAGATTCGTCCAACTGGAACGCTGCCGACGATGTTGGGAGGTGGGGGGCGCAGGGTGCAGCCGCCGGTACCCCCGGTGCCGCCACCCCAGGCCGTCACGTCGCTGCACAGCAGCAACGACAGCGGCTTCTCCAACGAGCCGCCCGTGCAGCCGGACATCGATTATAGCGACGACGAGGCCATGAGGTGAGAGACAAAGAGAATAAGAGCTCAAACGAGGAGGGAGAGACGAGTTTCTCCGGGGAGAATGAGTATGTGTACGATGTAGAGATGGAGACAGGTTTGGAGAGATTTGGCGAGAGAAACGTGCTGGCTCAATTTTTTTTTTTTTTTTTTTTTTGCAAGATGTATTTTTAGGTCCATGCAGTAGCCTCTTGTTAGAATTTTTCGTTTAGTGTGCTCCATTTAGGAGTTAATACAAAGTACGAGGAATGTGCCGTGACAATAGTTTTCTTGCCAAGTCTCCCCAAACCTTCTGCTGTTATCTCTGCGAACGGAAGGCCTTTTATTTTTCTGAGATTTATTATTTTTGAATTTCATTTGCTATTGCCCTCTGTAGCTGCTTCTCTGATATTATAGTCTAACGATCGGATAATCCAAGCTTTGTACAAAATTTTGCACTTTTGATGAATAAAAAGATGGGTTTTGCTGTCGAGTTTGACCGGCTGATTGTATCTTTAAGCAATGATTCATGATGTCATGGCATACTATTAAACTAGTGACTGTACATACTCTGAAAATCTTAGATGCTATACAATGAAATTGACTGTGCATGCGTTTTGAGTATTTGTTTAGTAGAAAAAAAAAAAAAAAATCGTAATCTTGAAATTTCAAACGAGATTATTGCACGTAATTCTGTATGCAAAGCTTTTTATCGTACGATTGCGGCAAAGCAGCTGTAAGTTAAAAATGTTTTGACTTGAAAGCAACTCTAATCCTCGCTTAAAAGCCAATTTGTATTTAGTAAATAGAATAAGCCCTCCTCCGTCAGTACAATACATTTGAATGAACAAAAGTAATTTTCCAACTGTTTCACCTTGTTATTTCGGGCCGAGCTTTTACTCTTTGGATTACGTTTCGTTTTGTTTTTTTTCTTTCGTTCTTTGTAGATTCCGCATGCGTTACTGCGATCGATGGAATTAAATACGACGGTGGTGGACTTTTACCGAGCCCCCTTTCCTTTCTACGCCTCTCCACGACCCCACTTTCATCTTGTCCTTATTTTACATCCCGTGGCTCTTGAGGACTATGCAAATACTTTAGTCCACTGTTTACCTCCCGCAAGACTTGAGGTCAAAGCTTTTCCCGTCCCAACTTGGCACGCAGCATATTTTCGCATTGTCTCTGGTTCTTGGCCTTTTAGTACTTATCAAAGCCTGTACCAACTTTATCTTACTTTTTCATTTGAGTTTATAATTTTTTCGAGTGATTAGTCAATTTTATTATAATAATTTGATGTAGTAGTTGTAATGTTAATGGTAGTAAATATCCATGAAATAATTTATACAGTTACTTGTAACAAGACAGTATTAGCATGTATTTTAGTGTACAAATTATTATTTTTTTTTTCCAAGTAGTTTACAAAGTAGACACTAAGTCGTATGAAACAAGACCAAAAACGTTCACTCCAAAAAATTTACATCCTTTCTTCCTTGACTTTCGTTTTTCATCGCCCATCATCTGTGACAGCCGCTTATTTTTTTCGTCTTTTCTTTTTTTTTGTTTTCTTTTCTTTCGTTCACACGACCCGATCCCTATAAAACAGACTACGACGACGAAAGGCAGCCGACCGACCCAACAAGCAGAAGCACAAGCACCACCAACAACAGCAACAGCAACAACAGCAATCAAATAATAATAACAACAACAACAACAACAACAACAACATCATCAACAACAACAACCACAACAACAACAACAACAATAACAATAACAACAACAAAGATGATAGCAAGATTATAGGGTCCAACGACAGCAAGGACTGGGAAAACGATTCGTGGAAGACAATACCGCGGGACGACAAGTCTTGGCATCATTACCGAAGCTCAATGACAGAGTACTGGTCCGACGCGAGCGTTACGGGAAAAAACGAGCAGACTAACGGAAAATCCGGACGTCACGATACCGAAGAGCGTCGAAACCTGAGGAACTCGGAGAGCGAGCCAGCTGGCCCAACCAAGAAGGAGAGGAAGCAGCAGCACGACGCCAACAATCAAAAGAACGAGTACGAGAACACGCGAGCCCCAGCGAGGAACTCCGACCGTGGCAAGTTCTCGGCCAACGAGGATCGCAATAGCGGTAGAAGCTACAGCCGCAGAAACGACAGAGACGAAGACCGGTCCAGGTACGAGAGACGCGACGTCGAAACCGAAGACGACGAGATAGAAGTGGAAGTGGACGTCGAAGAGGAAGAGGACGAAAGCTACAACGTCAGTATGGAGTACCGATCGGAGAAGTACGAGAACAAAAAGTACTACGAGAACCACAACGGGAACGACCGTCGTTCCGACTACCGAGGCGACAACGACTCCAAGTACGACAACGAGAAGACCAGCGACTCGTCCTCGTCCCGTTCGTCGGACTCGGAAGAAGAGAGCACGATGCCTGAAACCGGTCGCAAGGTCGAGCAGATAGCCCAGAAGCTCGAGCAGACCGCCCAGAAGTACGCACGCGAGCACAGTCCACCCAAGTTCATGGAACGCCGCAACATGGACTACAGTAAGAGCACCCTCGAGAGACCCCACGACGACACCAAATCCACGAACGCGTCCTACGATAAGTACGAGCGCGAGATACGAAATGGGAGACCGGCCCAGCGTCCACCGAGTAGCAGCGATCGGTACACCGACAAGTCGCTCGTGTCGTCGCGACAGTCGACTCTGACTTACGACCGTGAGAGGTCTTACGACAAGAACCAAGAGCGGAAACGCGTTTCGAGCCGTGGGCCCTTCGAGAGACCCAGACCGCCCTCCCAGGAGGCCCCCGAAAGACCAACGGACCAGCAGCTACAGCAGAGAGATCAGCAACGCTACCGGGAGCGCAGATACTCCGAGAAGGAGGATATCTACGGGGAAACGACGATAACACCACCGATCGCCTTCTCCAACGACCCGATGCTCGTCGACAAGGATCGCGGCTACGAGTCCAACTTTGAAACCAAACTGGAGAGAACCAAGGTTCTGGAACGCCACGGCTTTTCACGGACGGCCAGACCGGCCGAGAGCCACAACGACTCGAACAACAACAATGTGAAGGTGGACAGCAGAAAGCCACTGGTGCCGAGACAAAGCACTGCCTTGGGCCACTTGATACAGACCGGCCGTGGTGGTTTCGATCTCGAGAACAAGAGTCCGAAACTGGTCAAGCGGACAAAGAGCTTCTGGAGATTCCGTCGGGACTCGGAAGTGCTGGAGGGCATGGCCCTGTGGCAGCACCGGTCGCTCGTCGACATCCCGAAGATGCTCAAGAAAGACGCCAAACTGGACAAATCCCGGGAGTTGAACGAGTCGAGAAAGTCCGGCAGTTCCGGGAGCAGTCCTGGACCGTCGCACCGTAGCCTCGAGCGCAAGAACAGCGACTCGACCATAACGAACGAGCGCATCAACGGGGTCGAGCCACCGATGCCGGATGAGCCCAAGCCCGCGGAACGGGTCCACCTGCCGGACAAATCCATGTCGTCGTTGGACTACTTTGACGACCCCTCGCCGACACCGGCCGAGAGACCGAAGAACCCCGGCAGGGGCGAGTACCGCAACTCGAGGCACTACGAGGACCAGAGGTCCTACTTTGTGGGCAACGTGTCGAGAAAGGCCATCATAGAGAACGAGCGGAAGCGCAGTATGGAAGCCAAGAGGAACATGATAGTGGCAGAGCTGAAGGAGAACAATCAGGCCAAAAGGAACGAGCGGAGGAAGAAGGCCTACGGCGAGGACGACGACGACGACGATGATGGGATCATAGTACAGCGTTTCACGGAGACGGAAGCTTCGGACGAAGAGTCGACGTACAGTTGTATCATTGTCAAGGACCAAGCGGTGTCCGAGAAGACCCTCTTGCCGAGGACGAAGCTTAGAAGGGACAGCGAGCGGGGGGACAGGAACAAGAAGACGTGCGGTCCGTGGTACGATCTGTGGGGCGTCGATCAGTCGGTGATCAAGAAGAAAAAGAAGAAGCAGCAGTGATAGCTTCCCTTTCATCATTATTTTTTAATTATTTCTTATTTCTCTTTGTATCTTTTATTTTTGTAATCAAGTTTTTCCATACCATTTTTTGTTTTTACCATTCATATATTATATTATATTATATCGTTCTCACGTTGTTTTTAACTCCACTGCATATAAATTATATATACATATACATACAAATATTTTTGTAGCTCAAATTGTGCGTATCTGCTTGACGCTAAATTTATTATGTGTTTGTCGTTCACTGTCATCCCAATTGCTTCGTTCAACTGAATAAAATGATACAATGATCGTCAAGCCTTGTAAGCCGACAAATTCCAAGCGAAGCAAACGGGCGGACGTTGAAAATAGATTACCTTGCATTTACCCGCGACGTATGTATTTTAATTTTCCCCGCATATCCCTTCACGCGCTTGTCTCGATGTCACTTTCGTAGTGACCATCATTTTACACGCGCGAAAGGATTACACGTGCAAGCATCAACGTATGACTGTTACACACACATTTCGCTACGCATACCATGTATACCGTTGAATTATTTATGTATCGAGAATTCGCCAAGGCTAGCAGAATCTCTCGCGTTCACGCGCACGCGTACACACGGGCGAATTATGGCGAGCAAATAGGGTCGAAATTGCCAAACTTTTGCCCCGGTAACTTTGCCCGGTGCTCGCGAGTTCGCTTAACCAACACGCCCGTGTTTCCGAGAGCTCGATAATTGTTCGAGTGGCCAAAGAGCCTTTCCATCGGACTTATATACCCTTTCGGCACTGCCCGCGAGCTACAATGGGACCATCAGCAGAGACCGCACCCTTTTGACTCGAGTTTGTTTATGAATTATACAAAAGTAACGTAAAGTCATCGTAGAGTCGTTACTTTATACCGGGATCGGATGAATTCTTTTTTTACTATTTCGTCGTCTTTTTTTTTCACTCGATGTTACGCTTATAAGTAGAGGAAGGGATTTTATTTTGTTTTCTTTTTTCGTAGCTCTCAACGCGACACCATTCGAAAACACTTTAGAGCTCCGTGAGATGGTTGCAGCACTATTGTTTTATCCGTACATTTGTTGAATGGCCGGATAGCGCTGAGAGTGTGTAGGATGTGTAGCGCAGCAGTAGAAAAGTGCACGTTTTCTTTTACGATTGTAGCTCGCCAACAAGTGCGACACGGCAAAACGACTTTGAGACGACTTTTTTTCAGGAGCAATATTTTCGCGACGGTGAAGCTGCGCAAAACAAAGACCAACGATCGATCGGCACCGGCGATCTCGTAAGGCTAGCGAAAAGAGCGAGCCGAGCAAGTTCCTTTCCCTTGACACCTCGCTGGTTGGCGCCACGTCGATTGTAGAGCCGACCCTTAGAGGAACCGAATAATTAAATCTCACGAGGACGACGGTGCAGGTGATACACGTCTTTTCATGTGCGATATCCATTGGTGCCTCGGCGCGTCAAACGAGATCTGGCGCTTCGTAAGGTTGAATGTCATCCGATGCGCTCGTCCACTTAGCGATACGACTTTGCGAGTACGAAGTTCTAATCCATCCATGGACTAACGAAGCGACTAGTTTTACCAAACGCAAGTATACTCGTGTCAATGTAGTTGGGCCATTCAGTTTTATCAAGATTTTAATGCGAGACCAGTATATGTACTCATGACTCGGTGAACGCGAATTTTTTCGATCCGAGAAATCGGACCATTTATCAAAGGACTTTTTGTTTCCCCCTTTTTTCTCTGATCAAACATTTGTTTCGAGATGGTTTTATATTTTCACTCACTGTTAAAATCGTATTTCAACAACAGCGTATCGTTTTCCACAGTGAATGTTGTAAAGAACAAAAAAAATTGTACAATATGTGGTATAAAATGATGAAAAAATTATACTTGCACATAATATGATGTTGTATGAAAAGTCCGTTTATTATAACGTGGAGTTCAATTATTATGCTCGTCGGGCGATGTAAATACAGTGCGTAGTAGTATTTTTTTACTTCGAAGAATTTTTCGGAACTGTGCGAATCAATGTTTGGCACTCGTCAATTCGTCGATTCCAAAGGAGCGATTGTCAATTGTTGAAGTCCAAAATCAATTTTGCCTACGTACGGGCAACGAGATTTTAAAAACTTCTTGAAAAAATCCATTATTGCGGTTTGGTCCACTATCACGTTGAGGTAACTGAAATACAATAAAAGACTAAAATAACACACTATTGAACTGTTTGCACGATAGTTGTGAAACAATCCGTGAAATTGTTGTCCCTCGAATCAACGTAAAGCAACATATTGAGTCCGTCGCGAATTTTAATAATAAACAAAAAAATAAAAAAAATCACCAACAAATTAGCTCGAAAGTAAAACACTCCACGCGATTTAGAAGAAAATCACTCCAAAACGGAGTAAAGGACTGGTCACGTAAACGCTATTTTTCTTCCTTCCAGCGCATCATCCTCGAACGGCGCCTCGTATGCAAAACTCGCGCGTGTCCAAATCCTCGCATTTCATAAACCAAAAGAGTCAGTCCAAGCGAGCAAGAGAAAGAGCTCAGCGGAATATTCTCTTTCCTCGAAAAGTCCAATCCTTGGGCACAGGATATCTAAGGGAGATGGCAATTGTCGGACGGTGTATCTGAAAACAGATCGAGCGTGCGTGTATGCGAGTGGTGTATTTGGAGAAACGACTTATTTGCGGGAAACCTATCGGCAACTTTTCCATGTGAAATGAGATGAAAGTTTTATTTCTGCTCACTGGAGGAAAAAGAGGGAGCTTGGTGGATATTGTTTTGAGAGGGAAAAAATAAAAATACAGCAGGCTTGTGGTGAGAATAAAACGCGTCAGCCAAGCTTATATTTCGCTGGAAAATGATATTGCTCGTATACTAAAGTAGTGAATTTTCATAAATTTAAATAAATAAAATCGTATTGCTGCGGATCAGTAGGTAGCCAATCCAATAAATGAGTCAGAGTTAATCAAAGTAAACTGAACAATCAGTGAGAACCATAAAAATTCCTGTTGATTTATTATGTATTGTCCACGTGAAAATTATTACAAACTCTATTAAAACTCTCCTTGCGATCAAAAATATATATTCAACGGAGAAATTTTCTAAAACCAATGTTTTACTTTGACTACCTCAACCAAGCCAAACTAAAGCTGAAAGGCTTTCGCTTTCCAAGCCTCTCGGACCAGAGAGGAAGCTACTGCAGAGAGCAAAGCCAATTCATAAAATACGAAAAAAAAAACTACACACGGATACACGCGAATTCGAGAATTCAGAGCAAGGGGACATGGAATAAAGAGCGAAACGAGAGAGCGGCACGTGATTTGGCCCCACGAGCCATAAATTCTATGCGCGGGCTAAAAGACTCTAGCAAAGCGTTGGCCATTGTCATCGTCGAACAGGCTGTGTGTGAAAGGACTAGACAGAGAGGGAGAGAGAAGAGGGATATGCAAGCACGCACGCTCGGTCTGTCGGAAGCGCGTCATACGAGGGGGAAACACGTGGATTCGAAGAGCGAATATTTCATCCGGGGCCAGGAAAACCGGGGAGAACTGCCATATTCGCGTATTGTAAGCCGCGCGAGCGCGTCGATAATGCCTTGCCACTCTTTCTTTCTCTTTTTTTTTTTTTTTTTTTTTTTTGTCATTTACACGAAAACGCATGTGGTTAACAAAACCCCAGCACGTCAAAGGTAAACTACGATCCCCCGCTTCCTCCCGCTTTTTGCGTTTGAGCCGAACGAGAGGATGTTTACACGAGTTTTACTGTTGGGGGTGCGAGCTTTGTTGCGTGGTTGCAGTATTTGTGAGAGTCGTAATTAACCGGAATCAAATGTGATTATTATCACTGCCTATAGTACATCATATCGATTGCATTAAAAAAAAAAAATGATTTACATTTTCAACATAATTATCATGACTGAGATTTATTGTGAATATAAAATTTGCGGTGCCTAAAAAAAAGAAGATAAGAAATAAAACGCTTATATACTTGAGACGCGATTCCGAGCCCAAGCAGAGGCACTTTTGCGTTGCCACGGTCAGACGTTCCGTCTATCGATTCCGTCTTTTTGAGAAAAAATAAAAAGAGATCTCCAGCCCGCTTACATTTTATGTGACGAGAAAGGAGACCGTAATAAAAAACGTCCAGTGTGTGTAACGTGAAAAAGGAGGTGGCAGTTGCGTGTACAGTGATTGTGAGCCCTCGGTTGCGTTGCGTTGCGAGAGCAAGGGATTTTGAGAAAAATAGACAAACAAGAAAACAAACAAACAAAATACTCATGTAACGAAGAGGTTTTAGGGTGGCGTTGATTTTTTTTTTCATTTTTTTTTTAAATACAAAGAATTTAGAATAAGCACCTTATACATACGATTATTACTTGTCCGAAAATTTCATAGAGAGATGTTAATATATAAATAAATAAATAAATAAAGAAGATAATATAAATATTACGTTGTATCATTTTGCGCTGACGAAGGAAGATCGTTGATTGAAGGAAATGAGAAAATAATAGCGAGAGTAAAATATGATGAGCGATTTCATCAAAAGCTGGTGCTCGATCTTGAGAGTAGGCTAGGAAAGATATCAAATTTGGAAATTGTTGTAAGAACCATGTATACAGGCATATATGTTATATATTACTGTTATTATACTTATGAATAATGTGTTTTTATTTTACCCACCTCTGCAATCCTCGAAACTTCTATCCACATTTAAGACATTTATCAGTTTTTTGTGACAAATTTTATATTAAAAAAGTAAAATCATTGTACAAAACATACTTCAATCTTTAAAACAAAATAAAAAAAGTAAATTAAAAACTTCAATAACCTGACTATACCCAAAATATACTACTTAAAATTAATGTTTCGAACCGGAAATACTCCAATGTTCTATTAAATACCTGTCTCTATAACCCTTACCACTACTATTTACGTTTAACAATATTTATTTGTTTTTTTTTAAATAATTTTACACAATCTAATGGTAAATAAGATAAA